TGGGGGAGGACTATGGAGAGGTCCCAGCTGGTGCTGGAGGGCAGCAGGGGTGCCATGGGCCACCAGGTGGCGATGGAGGACCAGCCAGGGAGGCCAGGGCGCGTCCCACCCCACGTGGGCTAGCACAGAGGAGGGTGGGGAGGCTGGCCTCTGCTGGTGGGGCTGTTGGAGGCCCTCCTGCTGCCCAGGAGCCTCCCTCTGAACGTCGGGCCAGGGAGGACCACACTGTCGCCTGGACGCACCAGATGCGGGGCCTAGGGACAGCGTGGAGGAATCGCAGCCTCCTCAGAGGCACCCCTGACTCGTGGGCTGGCTCTGCTCTGGAGGCACCAGGGACCAACCTGCTCACACCTGAACAACTTCATCCAGCTGGGGCCTGGAGAGGAGGACGGCAAGTCAGGGATCCACAGGCCGGGGCTGCGGACACTCCTGGGACCTCGGGACAACAAGGGAGGAAGACCCCAGCCTAAAGGGCAGTGGCCGCTGGCTGTGGTGCCCTGATGCCTGGTGCATCTGAAAACTTTGTCGGCCAAAACCACCTCCACGTTCATCTTTCTTTATCAGAGTGGGTCCCGAAAGAGCCCAGTCACAGACCACCCTGGGGTCGCTTGGGGACGTCACTAGGCCTCATGTGGTTGCGGGTCTGCTTCCTGAGAGCTGGCACTGCAAGGGAAGTGGGTCAGTGGTGACCCTGCTCCCTACTGGGAGGGGTCCCCCTCCCGGGAATCTTAATAAGGGACAGGGAGAGGGGTTCGCATCCCCTGGGCTGCTCTGGGGCTCAGGGAGGGCAACAGCTGCTGGTGCTGGGGGAGGAGCAGAGGCAGGGCCCTTGGCGGGGCCAGGACCAGGGCTTTGCTCTACAGTCGTATAAAGGAAGGGTCCTTAGTGACCATTTGGAAAACAGCCACACGCCCGCCTTGCGGGCTGATCATGTGAGCCACCAGCACCTGGTTGAGACCTTGCAGGGACACATCCCCAGAGGGTTCCTGTGATCTTGGACAAAGCCTGGCCTTGGCAGGGAGGCCCTCCTGGTCTGGGCTGTCTGGAAAGGCAGACAGTTCCGTTGGTGGACACCATGGCCTCAGGAATATCTCCCCAGGTCCCTGGGTCTCAGCAAAGGTCTCAGCCCAACACCGAACCCTAGTCCCAGCTCACACAGCCTAGATCTCTGCCCCACATGGAGTCCTGATCCCAGGTCACAGAGCCTAGATCTCAGCCCCACAAGGAACCCTGGTCCCAGACACAGAGCCTAGGTTCAGCCCAAGTGGAGCCCTGATCACAGCTCACAGAGTCTAGGTCTCAGCCGAAGTGGAGCCCTGGTCCCAGACACAGAGCCTAGGTTCAGCCCAAGTGGAGCCCTGATCCCAGCTCACACAGCCTAGGTCTCAGCCCAAGTGGAGCCCTCATCCCAGCTCACAGAGTCTAGGTCTCAGCCCAAGTGGAGCCCTGATCCCAGCTCACACAGCCTAGGTCTCAGCCCAAGTGGAGCCCTGATCCCAGCTCACAGAGCCTAGGTCTCAGCCCAAGTGAAGCCCTGGTCCCTGCTCACAGAGCCTAGGTCTCAGCCCCACATGGAGTCCTGATTCCAACTCCCAGAGACTAGGTTTCAGCCCCACATGGAGACTTGATCCCAGGTCACAGAGCCTCCGTCTCAGCCCCACATGGAGCTCTGATCAATCACACAGAGCCTAGGTCTCAGTTCTTGTTGGAGCCCTGGTCCCAGCTCACAGAGCCTAGGTCTCAGCCCAAGTGGAGCCCTCATCCCAGTTCACAGAGCCTAGGTCTCAACCCCACACAGAGCCCTGATCACATCACACAGAGCCTAGGTCTCAGTTCTTGTTGGAGCCCTGGTTCCTGCTCACAGAGCCTGGGTCTCAGCCCCACACTGAACCCTGATCCCAGCCCACTGAGCCTAGGTCTCAGCCCCACATTGAGCCGTGACCCCAGCCCACTTGTACTCCTAACCGTTCTCAGCCTGTGGTCTGAGCAGGCAGGTCTCTAAGGGCCTGTGAGGATGGATGGTTGTCCAGTGATGGGCAGACTTGGGGCAACACCTCCTAGCATGGAGCAGGGTAGTCTTGGCTAACGTCCTGAGGAGGCATTTGACTGCTTCCCTTGGCTAGTTCCGTGGGGTGTGGCTCTGGGGCTGACACTGTGCCCTTTTCAGGCAGAGGAGTGCACCTTGAGGCTCTGGGTGGGTTTCCTGGCTCCACTGTTGGTGCCTGCACCCTGGGGAGCCTTGTCTGCCTTAAGGAAGCCCGGGGGAGGGAAGCCATACGGGCTCCCTCTGTCTAGACTGCAGAGGCTCTGTGCTGGGGGTGGGGCGGGTGGTAGTAGTTGTGCGGTGGGCGTGAGATGGGCTTGCAGGGTGAGGAAGGCCGCTGACCCCCACTTGCAGATGCGGAGCCCCCGGGGCCGAGGGCGGGGGTCCTCTCCCTTGCACTCCACCTCATCCCTGAGTGTGGGGGAGTCTGGAGAATTACCTGCCACAGACGCTTATTCAAACCCTGGTGATTTATGAGCAGGGACAGCTTTAAGGCCACCGTGAGCGGTCGCCAGCAACACTGCTGAAACCACAGTTTCCCAAGCCAGCGCAAAGGCACACTGGCCGCCCTGCCCGGCCCACGGCCCGCTGAACTGCCTGCGCTTTGCAGGGAACGCTGAGGGTGTCCTCTGGACTGCAGGCTGCCCTGGCACTCAGAGCAGGGGACCTACAGGCCACCAGAGTGGGTGGCAGACCTGGGTGGGTCAAGGGCACTGCCTGGGGGGTTGTGTTGGGACTTGTGGGACAGGGTCCCTTTTTCCTTTCCCCTGGGGAAGGACAGTGACAGCAGGAACATGTGGCCCAGAGAGGCAGTGTGTGTGGCCATCCTCATGTGCTCCTGGGTGCAGCCCAGGACATGGGGCCGGGTGGGATGCCTCGACAGCGGGGGAAGCTTGGGTCCAGCCTCAGGCCTAGCTCCCAGAGCTGCTCCCTGCAACCAGGAGGATGCCCTCCTCTCCCACTGGCCCACAGGCCGGGCAGGAAGCTGCGGAGGGACGTCAGGGAAGGGGCTGCAGACCATGGCCACTCGGGCTCCCTGACCCGCTCAGGGAGGGCCGCTGACATGGCTGCTTTACCAGTGAGGCTGGACATTGCGACCCCAGTATGGAGTCTGACCTTTAAGATGTGGGTGCCCCATGAAGACGTGTGGCAGCTGGCTGGGCCACAGGGGGAGGGTGGGCCTGGCTGGGGCGAGGGCAGCCTGAGGTCCTGGGAGGTGGTGGACACAGGTTCCAGCTGGGGGCATTGTGAGGGGTGGGGGGCGGGGAGCCGTCCTGCACCCTGCCTGCTGGCCTGCCCATCTTCGCTTGCTGGGAGGCTGGATGAGCCCCTCCCTCCTGGGCTCAAGTGCTGCTTCGTGCTGGGGCCTCCAGGTGGCCGTGTGCACGCGGGCGTACAGGCTTGCATGCCGCGGGGTGCCAGTGTGCGCTGCGTGTGGCATGGGCATGTGGGTGCACGTGGGGGTGTGCAAGCTTGTGTCCGCCACGTGGTTGAGCATGCTCGAGGGTGTGGCCCTTGTGTGTGCGTGCACTTGTGAGTGTGCTGGGGAGCCACTGGCTCCTCTGAGCTGAGAGTGTGGGTCGCCGTGGGGGGTGCCTGGAGCGTGGAGGTGGCACTGTCCTGTCTCCCGGGGCCTACTGGGGCAGTGTGGGTGGCCCTGGCTGGCAGCAACTGTCTCGTCCTTTCTGGCCCTCTTAATGTGGACCTAATTAGGTGGAACGTTGAGAAGACACCTGAAGCTGGTCTCCAGCCGTGTAGTGTCAGGGGTTCCTGTTGTGAAGCAGGAGAGCGGGGACATCCCCACAGCCGGGGGCCCCGTGGGCACAGCAGGGGCTCCAGGAGGGGGTGGCCCTGGTGGCTGGGGCCTCTGGGTTCCTCCTGCCCGACTCTGACTCTCTCTTCACCTGTCCAAGTGGAGAACACTGGAGGCCCAGGAGGAAGGGGCACCTGGGGCAGTAGGGCTGGCTCCAGGGACAGCTGGGACTCCCTGTACAGGCACACTGAGCCCCCAGGCCACCATGTCTGGGAGCAGAGCTTCCCATGACACTCCCAGGCAGTGGGCACAGATGAGGGCTCAGCCCCTCTGGAAGGGGAGTGGTGTCCCCGGCCACCCAAGGGTCATGCAGGGGCCCTGAGAATCTCTCTGAAGAAGGCTCTACTTGGTGGCCTGGACCCCTTGGGGTCTCCCATACCCTCTGAATAAGGCATGAGCTGGGCAGGGACCCCGTCTCTCTGGGCGGCACTGACTGTGGGGCGGGGGTGGCTGGCATGGCCAGGAAGGGATGGCCTCAACTTGGGCCTGGAAGACATGGCATCTGTCTTGCAGGGAGAGGGACAGAGACTGTGGCCGCCTGGTGGGAGGCCACTGCCCATGGACACCTGGAGGCCAAAGGTGGGGAGATGGGCTGGGGGAGTCGAGAGGCCTCCAGTCCCTGCCCTGGATCACCCAGCAGCGCAGAGGCGCAGGGGTCTGCTCTGTGCTGGGCAAGGCCTGGGGGCTGAGGTTGCGGGGGGCGGGCTGCGCCAGGGAGGCCGCCCCTGCTGAGAGGGGAGGGGGCCCTTGCCCCAGGTCCCAAGGCCAGCGTCCCAGCTGCTAGGATAGCGAGGGGCACTGCTGACCCACAAGGAGATGCGGCTTCAGGTCACAAGTGCAAAGCCACAGCTAGTGAATATTTAACGAGGCCTAACAAAGCGCATGCATAATTAACCAGGCGGTGGAGGAGCCGGAATAATTTGTCTTCTTAAAGGGGATTCGGTAATTTGTTAAGCTGTTTTGAAATCTGCAGTCTAGCTGCGGGAGCCGCTCTGATTTCTAAATTAATTTGTGTGATTTAGAAAGTAGGAGCCTCCACTTCTGTGGTGGCCACGGTGTCGGGCGGCCTCTGCTGGCGCTGGCTCACCGGTATATTCTGTTTTTGTTGATTGACTAATTGGCTGATGGATGCTTCATTTCCAGGGCCCCCTGCTGAGCTCCGTCCTTGCCTTCCACCTGGCTGCGGCCACCCCACCCCACCGTGCTGGGGCTGCGTGGCCTGGCCTCCCCAGCTGCCTCCTGCTGATGTTGGCTGAGCACCCCTGGGCTGGAGGGGTGAGCCTGCATGGTGGCCTGCAGGGGCCAGCCCGTGGGGGAGCACAGCCCTCAGACATGCTCTGAGGTCGACTGACCCATCTGCACTTTAAGGACCAAGCAGCGAGGGTCCTAACGGTGTCATGACTTAGGGGTCACATGGGTAACCATGGGAGGAGCCGACCCGTTTCCTCAGATGTCAGGACCATGAACTTGGCTGGGGGCCAGTGGTGAGGAGCTGGTGCTGCATGCTGGCTGTCCCTGCCCAGCCCCTAGGAGCATTTTGGCCCAGCTGGTTGGCACCTGAGTCTTCAAAGGCCACGCCACCATCCCATTAGGCCAGAGGCTGCAAGATAGTGGGGGACGTAAGAGTCCACTTCTGCTGAGCCTAGGTTCATCTGCTCTGAGCCTGGTATCACCTCCTGTGTTGAACCTGGGATCACCTCCTGTGCTGAGCCTAGGATTACCTCCTGTGCTATGCCTGGGATCACCTCCTGTGCTGAGCCTGATCACCTCCTGTGCTGAGCCTGATTACCTCCTGTGCTGAGCCTGGGATCACCTCCTGTGCTGAGCCTGGGATCACCTCCTGTGCTGAACCTAGGATTACCTCCTGTGCATGCTGGAACCCTGGCGAGTCGGACCCCTGTGAGCCTGACATCGCCTCCTGTGCTGAGCCTGGGTTCATCTGTGCTGAGCCTGACATCACCTCCTGTGCTGAGTCTGGGATCGCCTCCTGTGCTGAGCCTGGGTTCATCTGTGCTGAGCCTGACATCACCTCCTGTGCTGAGCCTGACATCACCTCCTGTGCTGAGCCGGGGTTCACGTCCCCTGATGTGCTTCGTGGCAACCCTCCTGAAAGGGGCCCTGGTGATCCCCAGCTCACAACCCTATGGAGCCAGTGTTTGCTAAGAGGCGTTTCAGTTTGGTGACTTCGACATGCCAAGCCAAGAGAATTGAACAGATTCCACCAAATTTGGCTATGGGAGTGGTCTCCAGTGTTCTTGGTGGCTCACTCCTGAAAAGCTTGGGACTCTGGACTCTTGGACTCTTGCCTGCAGTGCCCCCGGTGTGTCCCTGGAGGAGGGGTGGGGAAGGCTTGGTGCATGCTGCCCCTCCATGCCCGCTGGACTCCAAGAGGGGCCAGGGCACCTCAGGAAGCAGCTGTCACCTGGCCTTCTGCAGCTCCTGTGTCTGCTTCTCTCTGAGCTGCCTGGGGCTGTCTCCAGGAGTCACATGGGACCTGAGGTGAGGAGGACCAGTCCCATCCCTGATTGGGGCTAGGGAGGGTTTCCTAGCACCCGGGAGCTTCTGGGCCAGGTTTCTGGGCCTGGGAACTACAGTGGAGCCTGTGGTTTTCTTTGACTCTGGGAGATTCTGGGGGAGCTGGGGGGCGTCAATTGAGAGAGCCCATCTCTAGGATGAGTGGCCAGCGGGGTGGACATAACAGACCACAGCCTCCCAGGGCCTGCCTCCTGGTGGTGGCTCAGGACATCACCCCTGGGCAGGTGAGAAAGGTGAGAGGCACTTGCCCTACAGGGGGGCTTCTGCAGGCCCTTCCCCTGCTCTTCCTCCACCACCGTCTCCAGCTCCCTGTGGCCTTTAGCCATGTTCTGGTTGGGGTTTCTCAGCAGCGGGGCTGGGAGCCCCTGAGGGAAATGCCTTCCGGTCTCCACTCCTGGGGAGAGGGGCCCGTCCCGTCCTCTGCCAGAGCCCACACAGCGCAGGATTCAGAGGCCAAGGACAAGTTCCATGTTGGAGGAGGCTGGACAGGGTGCTCTGGGGTCCAAGGAGATTGCCTGGCACTGGAGCTGCAAGCTGACCAAGGTGTGGCTTCTCCATCTCCAGGGGACCCACCTGCTGCTGCTGCTGCCCCTTGTTCCCTTCAGAGCTTCCTGAGGGGGTGGGAGCCTGGGGGTGGGCCCTGTCCCAGCAGGCCAGGCAGGGCTCCAGCTGTAACAGCCCCTGGCTCTGAAGCCGCCCAGAGGGCTCCTTCCTGTCACATAGTGTGGTTTTCAAGCTCCGGGCTCCAAAGCCAGCCCTGCAGGACCCGGATGGACCTGGCCTCTGCTGACAAACACCAGGGGAGAAGGTGGCAGCGACCTGGGGGCACCCCTGAGCCTGAGCATGGCCGGAGCCCCTGGCCAAGGCAGGCCTGGAGAGTGCTGCTCCCTGAGAAGGGAGCTAGCAGCTGGCCTCTGCGTGCGGAGGGTGATTCCAGCAGCCTGTCCGTCCACTCCTACTGCCCAGGAGAGGAGCGGAGGCTGTGCAGGCGGGTGCCAACCCTCCCCTGGGCTGGTGGGCGCCACCCTTCCCGAGAGCTCTGCCCAGGAGGGGAAACCGAGGCTGAGACGCGCCAGGCCCCAAGCGGGAGGGAGGGGCTCCCTCCTGGCCTCTCTGCAGGCGGGGCCTCATGTCATCTGATGGGCTGCCGTCCCCTCCCATCCCCTCCTGCCCCCAGCTCCGTGCATCCTGCCCTGTTCCCAGAAGCCCCAGGTGCCTCTCCCCTCAGGGGCTCTTCGGAGGCCTGGCCATCAGCCCCCAGCCTCCTCTTTGTCCCTCCCACGAAGCCCATAGCAGCGCTTTCTCCACGGCTGGGTGAGTTCTGAAATTCTCTTTCCATTAAAAATAAATGCCCCATTTTATCTGCCTGAAATGGCTGCACTCTCTGATTGTCTTTTCCACGGTGCCATATATGGAGAACTATAAAATCATAATACAACTATTAATCCCCTGTATCTGCTTGTACCTAATTTTTATTAAAAATATCCTGTGTTCCAGCTGCCTTGTAAATTATAGCGGGGTGGGCAGCTGCAGCTGGTTAGTGGGGACAGCTCTCCCCAGAGCCCCAGGGGTGGGGCAAGGATGTGGCCAAATGCCCAGGGCTGCTGGGCCCCGTAGGGGTAAGACCCTGATCCTCAGGACTCTGAGGAGCCTGCCTTCCTGCCCAGCACGTTCTGCTGCTAACGGGTCCTCCTGGGTAGCTCAGGCTGCGTCCAGGGCCCTGCTCTTGGCTGTGACCTGGGTGAGGGAAGTTTCCCTCCACATGGAAGGGCCAGGGCAGCGGGCAGCACTGGGTGGCAGGGGCCGCGGGGCCCTTGTGCTCGTCGGCTCGGGTTGTCCCTGGGCTCCTTTTCTCCATGGCACGATCCAGCTTTAAAAGCAGCTGCCTGTCCAGGAGAGACTCCGTCCAGTTGTGCTGGCCGCATGGCGGTGCCTGTCACCGCTTGTCTCCAGGTCGGGCTCAGGGCCGGTGCCGGGGTCAGCTCAGGGGTCCCACAGCATTGCTTGTCTCCTCGCGCTGTGGGCTCCCTGCCTGGAGCTGCCCACAGAGACCTCCAGCTTCCCCTGCCTTGGTCCCTCAGTCCATCTGGTTTTAGCCAGAGCTGAGTCCCCCCAGAGGCTCCGGGACCCAAAGGGCTCAGCTCACCCAGGGAAGTGGGCAGAGCTCGGTTCTCCCCGTACTCATGGGGTCTGAGAGCTGGACCCCAGCACCCTCCGGCCTGTTTTTTGTTTTGGGGTTGCTGTGGGTCTAGACATGCCAGCCCGGTGGGGGGCAGCTCACGCGGTCCCACGGCCCTTCTTTGAAGCCATTGTTCCTCTGTGGCTTGAACCTGATGTCTCTGGCAGCGCCCTCACTGTCTGCCGTGTCAGAAGCTTCCAGGCTCACCCAGGCACTGTCGCACCCCCTACGGAGCCAACCACTTCCCCGAGATCCTGGGGACCTGTTTCAGAAGCCGGAGCCGGGGTTGGCCATTGTGCCTCCTGAAGAGCCGAGGAATGTTGTTTTAGTCACCTTGTCATCCTTGTGACCAAAAGTTGTGACAAGAACCAAATTGGAAGGAGGAAAACTTTCTTTTGGCGCGTGGTTTCAGGGGTCCAGTCCGTGGTCAGCTGCATAGCTCAGGGCCAGGTGGGGCAGAGCATCACGGCGGAGGGGCGTGATGGGGAAAGCTGCTCAGGACACGGCACCAGGAAGCAGAGCTCTGTGGGCAGGACGCCCCAGTGACGCTCCTCAGACCACCCCCTGCCTGCCCCTACGGTCACCTCCCAGCGGATCAGTCCACTGAGCAGGCTTCAGCGCTCACAATTTAGTCATTTCACCTTGGACGATTCTTGGATTGTCTCACACGAGCTGTGGGGACACCTCACACCTAAGCCCTGGCTCAGGTGTCTGTTGAGATAAAGTCCCAGCAAGCTCGGCCCACGTCTCACGGGCAGACTCAAGAACTGGGGTTCCCTCGTCGCCCTGTCCAGCTCCCGGGCAGCCCTTCCCTGGAGCTGAAAAGTGCGTCCTCAGAGGCCACTGGTTACTGATTTCCTCTGCCACACGCATGCCAGGGCCCTGGGATCTGAGATGTTTGCGGCTCCCTTGCTGGGCCAGTCCCCTGCGTAGAGCCACGTGGCCCCGGGCCCTTCCTGGGCGGTCATCCGTCAGCCCACACCAGTGAGCTCCCTTACCTTATTCTGCCGTTGGCCTTGGAAGCTCCTCTTACCCTCGGCCTGTGTTTGCTGTTACAATCAGCCCTCGGCAGCCGCCGGCTTTGCCCAGGCGGATTCAACCAATCCAGGATCCAAGACTTTTGAAGAAAAGGCGTAGGCTCTGTTCCTGTCGTCCTCCCCTGACACAACCTGTAAGGACCACCAGTGGCATCCCCAGAGCTCTGGGTGTGGTAAGGGACCTGGAGAGGAGCTCACGCATGCCATGCGGGTCGAGGTGGCCGTGGAGCCCTGAGGGACCACTGGGTGGCTCGGTTTCCAAGCCCAGCTGTGGAAGGAAGCCCCTGCAGCCCCCACTCTGCAGACGCTACTGAGTGGTGCCTTTCTTTAATCCAGAGGAGGACGGGCTCTGCCGGGTGGCAGCCCCGTGGACACGGAGCTCCCCTGCCCCTTCCTCGAGATCTGCAACCGTAACGTGGCGTCACAGCCACACGCAGGGAGGCCCCACCAGGCCTCCAGTCTCAGCACCTTCAGACCCAACTTAAGAGAGACCCAGGGACCAGGAGAGTGGAGAGATGAAGTCCCCGTGGTCTCCCACCAGCCAGCAGGCGACTGCTCCCGAGGCTTGGCAGCCCCAGGGGCTTGCTCGCTCCAGGCCTGCAGTGGGGCTGGGCAGGGTGGGCGGGGAGGCCAGCCAGGGCTCAGCGCAGAGCAAGGGGCTGCTGGCCCGGAGAGCTGCAGGAAGTTCCGCTGCGGCTGGGGCTCCTCCCCACGCAGGGGGCCTCAGATCCCCCTGAAGTGCAGACCTCTGAAGTGAGCCTCCAACACAGGAGCTCACGCCAGACCAGCCTCTCCACCATGGTCACCCCTGCCGCTCCGCGGCCAGCTGCTCCCGAGTCTCCTCTTTTGAGGGGTGTGACATGGCGTCCCAAGGATCCTGTGAGAAGGGAGGACATGGGTCCCATTGCCCCGGCTTCCGTCCCAGAGGAGCCAAGCGTGGCTGGTGGGCGTGGTGGTGAGTCTTCCCCTCTGTCCATTGTGGGCCAGGAGACGCCCCTGCGGTCCCCTCTTCTCCCAACCGAGCCTTCCAGCTGCAGGGCATGGCCCTGCGAAGCCCGCGTCTCTGGTGCCCAGGGAGGTGGACGCTGAGTCCCTGCAGAGCCCGGCCTTTAAGAGGCCTACCTCTCAGGAGCAGTTGTAGGGCCAAGGGTGTGACCCACAGTCAGATCCATCGCTGGCCACACAGGCTCCACTTGCTGAGGCTGCTGGGTGCCAGCATGGGGCCTGCTCACTGGAGGGGACCGAGCAGGCAGCCCTGGGCATGGGCCTGCAGTCAGGCTGGCCCGCCCCTGCTGTCAATCCTGTGGACAGCGGCAGGGGCAGGCCTGGTGACTCTGTGAGGGCAGCAGGGCCAGTCGGAAGGCCTGGGCAGCTCCGCTGGGGGAGCTAGACACGGTGATGAAGTCCAGTGGCCTCCTCGAAGCCCCCGGATGGGCATGGGAGGGTGCAGACGGGCCGTCCCACTCCAGCCCATGTTGGTGGCTCGGAGGGTCAGCTGCCGGCAGCGTGACTGACGTGCCGGGGACCAGGGTGGAACCGGGGTCAGCTGTCAATGGAAGGGAGGGTTTCCTTGGCGTCAGGGGAGGGGCCCAGAGGTCTGACCTTGGTCGTGGGTCAGTCAGCTTTCTGTCCTCGTCCCCGTGTCCCTGAGGGGCTCAGTGCTGGCTCATGGTTTCAGAGCTTCTGGCTGCCCGGCCTGTTGCTGGGCCTGTGGCGAGGCAGAACACCATGCAGGGACGAGTGCCCAGGGAGCCTGCTGACCTCAGGGGGGAGCAGAGAGCGACAGGAGGGGCGGGCCCTCTGCCTCCCCTGACCGCACCACCCACTGGGCCCCTGCTGTCCAGGAGTGCCTGGCTGGTGACAGGGCTGTCAGCTCATCAGCTTGGGGTACATTTCAAGCCTGGGCAATAGCAGATGGAGGGCCAGTGGCAGTGGCCAGCAGGGCTGTGGGGGGCCTGCTCAGGTGGTGCTTTGTGGCCTGAGTGCCCTCGGCATGTGTCAGGTCATCCCCAGCCAGAGGCAGGCCTGTGGCTGGCAGGACCCTGTGTGGCGGTGTCCTAAGGAGCCCTGCCTGCGAGCCAGAGGTGGAGGGACGTCTGCGGCCCCTCTGGGCTCTGGACACTCCCTGGCACGCAGATTCTTCTGGAAGATTCTTCCCTGCTGCTGTTCACACTGGCGGGACAGGCACAGGGAGACCCCGCGGGCCTGGAGGGCAGGGCCGCTTTTCTGAGGACAGCTGGCTGTCATTAGGAGCCATTCAGAGCAGCTTGGAGGATGCCCCCTGCTGGACCCTGTCCTCTGTCCCCGTCACCAACAGAAGCCACCAGCAGAGACTGGACCTTTCTGTGGAGCAGGCGGTGAGGCCTGGTGAGAGGGGAAGCTGGTGGCTGGGAGTGCAGACGGCAAGAGGAGGGAGCACAGCCCGCAGGTCACCCTGGGGGCCGCTCAAGGCAGGCCTGGCCCTCCCTCAGCTGACCTGCCCTGTGACCCTTACTGACACTTGTCACTCACTCCTGTCACCCCCTCGGCCACTCCCCAGGGTAGCCACTGGGGGCCACAGAAGTGCAGGGCTCCATGCAGTTGGTGAGGATGAGCAGAGGGCTACTTGGACCCAGCTGCTGGCCGGTCCTTGTGTGGAAGAGGATTGGAAGCACAGTGAAGACCAGGTGCTGGCCAGGACACCTGGATTCCCAAGAGTGGACAGCCGGGAAGGCCAGCAAGGAGGGGTGCCTGTGGGCAGGAGGGCAGGAGAGAGCTGAGCCCTGGTGATGGGACACGCCCCCTGAAGGGACACAGCTCTCCTGCCCTCAAGCGGGCAGCTGGGCCTGACCTCAGGGCCAGGCAGGTGCCGTCCTCTGCGTGTCCAGGAGCTCGCAGGTCCAGGTCCTGGATCTGCCCCTTACAGATGAGCCCAATTAAAATGGCACTAGAGACCTTTTTGGTTTTGTTTTTAGCATCCGTTATTCTTGGGTGCATTGATCAGGAATAAATTCAACTTTGTGCTTTGTGAGGCCTGATTTAACATGGATTCACCAAAATGGTTTTCTATGTCTTATGTAACAAGAAGTCTGGAGGATGTCACAGTTCAGGGTGGAAGTGGGGTCTCCATCATGCCCCAGGGGTTCCGGCTCCTTCTGTTCCACTCTCCTTAAAGTGGGTTTCGTCCTTCTCCTTTTGCCTCATGGTTGCAAGGTGGCTGCTCCATCTCAGTGCTTCTACTTATCTCCTATTGGCCCAGCGCCGTGCTGCTTGGCCATCTCTGGCTTCAAGGGGTGCCGAG